AAGGGAGAGGCTGAGTCCTGGGGGGTCTTGAGCAGAGGACGTTGAGACTATTTCCTCGTTTGTGGTCTACAAGGACGAGTGTTTTTTGACCGGGCTGGAGGAAGACCCCAAACTGAGTCAAATTCATTGCAGTTAGTGGTCGTTACGGAAGAGGGAGAGAGGGGGGGGGGGGCTGAGAAGCTGAGAACAGGCAGCTGACAGGTGTGGGGGAGGAAAGGAGATTGGATGCAGTTCGCACGTCCAGTGTCACTGCCTGTTGAGCAAGCGAGCGCGCGTGTGCGCCCGCCCGCAACAGGGATGGATTATTAGACGGAAAGCGCTTGATCTGATGTACATAATACTCCTGATGATGAGCTGGCAGGTGTATCACTGCTGAGGTCGAACCTTCCGTTTCAAGAGGGGCTCTTGCGCTTGCGCTTGCTTGCGTGCTCCATGTTTCAACAGTTGACAGCACCTGCCCGTGCATCAGGTCTCATACATATATCCAGGTGGTGGCACACCTTGACACCTCCACAGGGGAGACTGTTCGTTGTGGCCGTCTTTACGAATACATTTACATTACTGTACAGTAGGGCCAGCAAGCGCCCTCACAGCAAAAAGCAGCTTAAACGGATACCCCTGTGCGGTAGTCCAGGGGTCTTGTCGCTGTCACTTGGGTTCTGGGTGCTGGGTTACTCGCTGCGAGCCAGAGACTTGACAGGGACGAGGCAGGCGGGGGCGTGGTCTAAGGGAGGGGGGGAGCGACATGACGTTACTTCCCCTCAGACTAGCGACGTCATAGGGGTGCGCCAGGGCATCCACCTGCACCTCCAAAGTGAGCAGCGTCCAAGGAAAAAACAAGGAACAGGCTTGCAATAAGAAGAGGGGGCAGAGGGCAAGGAGGGGCACTGGGAGCGTCGTCCACCTAATAAAGACAAGTTTGCGTGCCGCGTCGTGTGTGGACAGCCTGAGGATCATCTACTGCTACAGTGTCAGCCCACGAACCAACAGCAGGCGCCCATCAACATCACCAGTTTGTGTTTTCTTGCCGCTGGCAGTGGCCGTTCTCTTCAATCATGTGGTTCATTGGCGATCTCGCCCAACAAGCCCATCCACACAACACAACACGGCAAAGCCGGCTGTTTGTTAGCGCATGTAATCTCTTTCGTGGACGTGGGACAGTGCGAGAGAGAAACAATTGATACGGGAGCATCGCGGTGGGGTCACCTCATCTCAGAATGGTAGCGCAGGCCAGACGTGGTGACTGGCGGCTGACGACGTGCGGTCGTTCAGCGGGGACGAGAGCGACAAAGGGACGCCGTCGACTCACGGGGACTCGCAAAGGACAGGGTGAGGCAATTTCTTTCCGATTCCGAGTCCGGGGGGTTTAAGCGTGCGTCCTCCGTTTCGTCTGCGTTCCTGGGCAGCTGGGGTACATTTTTTCGTTTCCCTGCTCCTCTGTTTACTGAACAAGCAAGCAGTGTCACTGGTCTCGGGTGGGAACGCGGAAGACCGGGGAGCAGGAACGCAACCCTATCCTTCAGCGCAAGCCCCCCCTCCTTGACCTCCTTGACCACACAGGAAAAGCGTCCACCACAGGTGCTAAGAGGGGCGTCCTTCTGCAAGTACCTACCTACGGTACCTAAGGTACCTACCTGCCTAGGTACCGTACCTTACCTGCCTGGGTAAGTACGGTATAAAGTACCTGGTGTCGTCTGTCCGGGCAGCCCAAGCCAAGCGCTATGCCTCGCAGCTTGGCCCACCTTAGGCACCTTGGATCAGCTCAGAGTTACATGTAATGGACCACTTGATTAGTAGTCCTGATAGGCTCAGGGTCCTGATCCGGCCGCCGTTTAAGATGCGCACTACTTGCGCCCGATCTCACCCCAAACTACGGATCAGTTTCGATCGATCTGCTGCCAGTTATCTCGCCGAAGCACCGGCATGCTCCCGAGGCTTTCCGTCGTTCAAGGGCTTCCGTTCAAGAGCCTCGGCACCATCACCCCACTGAAGGACCCCGAGGCCCCGCTCGTAATCCATTTGCGTAAGTACATGGCAGCCAGCCGTGCTCTTTTCTCTTTTTTTGCTTGTTTTGGCCTGGCCAGCATTCTGAAACACAAGTGACATCGCTTGCTTTGTACCTAGACATGACCAGGCATGCATGCACCTGCCAGCCTCGTGTCCCCAGAGGTTCAGCAGCGCTCGCTAGCCTCGTGCGCATTGCTCACTAAGAGGGACGCACGCGCTGCCTGCTGGAGCAAACGCTCCCCATGGCCCGCTCCCCTTTCCCCGAAGGAAACACCGAGATACTAAGACACATGAGCCGACAATCCCAGCCTCGCCATGCACATACACCGTGATTGCGCCAACTGACCTTGAGCTGCCCACGCTTGGAAGGCTCGGTACATAGGTAACCCGCCAGGCGAGATGCGGCCTTGAACGGCCACGAAGACACAATGTCTTGTCCCCTCAAACACAATGAACGTGTTGTGCTCAACTTCCCAAGGATGCCGTGAAGAGAGCGCCCAAGACCCGGTAGGCAAGCGCCTGTTCGAGGTCAGCTAGGAATGAATTGATGTGTGCCAAACATCTTTCTCCCTGCTTTTGTTGATGGCTTTCGAGCATGTGGCAGTCATCGGGACCACTTTTACTTTCTTTCACTAGTCGTTCCTGTCGTATCATACAAACAACAAATCTCAGCGTCGTG